CAGCAGGAGGAGAAGAAGAAAAAGAAGAGGAAGATTGTGATGATTATGGTGATTTGGGGGTCGATTGTTAGCCTCAGGGTGAAGGCTGAGTGATCTGGATTACAGTAAGTATATTGTCCCGATATCACGAATGTCTGATGACCTACTGAAGACAGTATCATTGTAGCCAGCTTTCGCATTAATTTTGCGCCGCTAATCATTTTTGCGAAAATATGATCTTCGCCAACTGGCGTTGTGTGCACATCGAACCGAAACCTTCCGCCTATAATTCAGTTACCACCTGCCCCCCTCCACACACTTCCCTATGGTTTTCTCGCTGATGACTGAGCACACATCAGTCTACTTGGCAGTTAACTCACGCCATCGGTGACTTCTAGGCAGCTTTGCCTTCACCAAAAAAACTTACTGTCATCGGCCAATCAGAACCCGCAGGTCGTCAGTGCGCGTGTGCGTGCGTGTGTAACCTCTCGAGCCACAGTAAAAGACAGCCTTCGTGGCCCTCGTAGCATTCCGTCTCGGCTGCTCTGATCACTACTCTGAATGGCGCTTCAACAGGCAAAAATATTCGAGGACCAATTTCCCCTGATTCGAAGCTGTCCTGCATTGAACGAAATTCGTCTTGCTCAGGACATAAAGGATCTGCGAATAGAGGTAAGTTTCCTTACTGCGGACATTTGTGTGTATGTTTGCCAGGTTAAGGGCGGGGCAGTGCTTCACGCCCATCGAATAATATTAGCGGCCCGTGTTCCTTCTTTGCGAGCCGCTCTCAGTGGTCCCTGCGGGGAGGAGAATTCGGTTCTCAAATGGCCCACAGTGCCTCTCAAGTACATTTTCCATCGGTTCTCTGATCTTACATACTCCTTGCACTCTTTATAGCCTCGCAACTACATTCATTCAGTATGTTTACACGGGTCAGGTGGAGATGACACAAAGTAATGCGAGGGGCATGGTTACGCTTGCCAAAATGGTCAAACTGCCGGACCTTCTAAACTGGGGAGCTACATTAATGGCCAAGGGGTAACGATCCTCCTGGTCTTACCTACGCACACTAAAGTCTCAATTTAGAAAGCCTACCGGCAATTTGGGACTTTGCCAGGACCCTGAATGTGGAAGTACTGGCGGAGAAGTGTATCGGCCTGATGAGGGAGCAGTTTGAGCACTTCATTCAAACTGACCTCTTTGTCAGCTTGCCCGCTGAAACTGTGTTCACTCTGCTTCGCAGCGATGATATCTCGGTGGAATCTGAGGAGCAGGTAATTGCGGCCATTGCGCACTGGGTGGACGCCGGTGGTGCTGCCGATGATGAGAAGTTGAGAGTGCACGCTCCGGAAATGCTGAAGGAGGTGCAATGGCAGCTGACGAGCGTGCAATGTCGCAGTCGCCTGCTGGATAGTTATCCAACACTACGGCAAAGCCCCGAATGTCTGTAAGTGTCTGCAATTTCAGCCCTGTTAATTTGAGATAAAAGTTGTCTTTTGCTTCAGGTGGAGCAGTGGATTGGCGCTGCAGAGATGGACAAGCCTCCTCGCCCCTTCAACATCAGGCCACGCCTATGCCAGACGCTCTTCGTCTTTGGAAAGGATAAAGGTCAAGACAAGTACTCTGTCCTCCGCGTTGACGCGCACCTGCGGCGGGCAGAACGAGTTGCAGACATGAAGGGTCCGCGTAGTCATGCCTCCTACAGTGTCGTGGGCGGTGAGTTGCCGGACAGCGCATGCTGTTTTTATTTGCCATTGCGCAGGCATCCCAGGCTCTTGAGTTAGTCCATTGTAGTAGCTGCATGTGCTGTTTTGAGGAAAGCAAATAAATAAACAAGTAAGCTTTTTATGACGACTGGCGCCTGTCTAGGAGTTCCTTTTTTGAAGATGGTCTATCTGCCAGTTACTTCTGTGTAAAGACTATCGGCTGGCCGCATTTTGCATTACCTTTTCCACCCCTCCCCGATTACCCCCACATTTCCCCATCGGAAGAGAGCATTTTCGTTGTTGGTGGATGCAATCCAGGCCGTGCTGATGTTGACGAGTTTTTGGTGGGAGAAGGACGCTGGCGCGAGCGTACGCCCCTCGCCGTTGCACGCTGGTTCCACGCAGCCGCAGTCATGAAGGTGCCTGCCGCCGCCGGAGATAAGACGCTGATTGGCGTTTTTGGTGGATGTGGTGGAGATGGACGCCTTTCCTCCTGTGCGCTCTATGACGTCAGTCAGGACAGGTGAGAAGACGCCGGTTGTCGTGGCACATCCATTTATTGCTAGAAATATCACTCATTCGCTCGCTGCCCCGCTTACCCTCCGCTTCCCCCGAACAGATGGCACAAATTGCCCGATCTGCCGGAGAAGAGGAGCAGTTCAGCTGCTGCCTGCCTACCCAGCGACAGTCGGGTCTTCATTTTTGGCGGTAGGGATGACTCCTCCTCCGCGCTGGCTTCCGTGGTCTTCTGCCATCTGCGGGCAGACTGGCAGGGGCAGGCGACCTCGGCGAACTTTTGGCAGCCAGCTGCTCCCATGAGAACTGCACGATGGGGACTGGCAGCGATGCCATTTCGGGGAGCAATCCTAGTCTCTGGTGGATACGATGGCCAAAGGACTCTCAACGTCGTGGAGATGTTCTCGCTGCCAGACCCCAGCAAACCCCTCGGCCAGTGGACAGAGCTGGCCGGCATGGAGCAACCTCGCTGGTACTTCACTCTTCTCACCTCCGCCAGCGCTCTCTTTGCTCTTGGTAAGGCAACAAACAGATTAGATGAATCCTTTCAGGCTATTTGCTAGCCTCTTTCATGTCAGCAGAAGGTTTACAGCACCTGGCAGGTGGCGCCATCTGCAACTGTAATCTGTGACATGACGCTGTGGAGGTTTTTCTCCTGCACACTGCACCAAGGACAGTCATTGTGCATATTGCCGATCGCTCAATTTTTAAAAAAAAACGATGTTCTCTCTGGTGTCTTTCCTCTTCAAATGCCACTTCGTTATAATTATTTAAATAAAACATTGTAGGCAACAACGACGCGCCGAAAAACACGGTGGAGACTCTCACGGCACCAGGAGATTCGACCGACTTTGACGACGACTTGACATCTTGGGTCTGGTCGTCCATGAACCCAGTGGAGACACTGGATTTGATTGTTGGAGCTGCAAGCATTCGCATGTAAACGTCTGCGTTAATTGTCCTTTGATATTACCTTGGTCTTCCTTCATTTGACTACGCATTGAAAATAAACGATTAACAAATAAATCTGCCTTGACAGGTGTTATTTCAAAACTCTGAAACGATGCGTGCCGTGTCCAACATATGGCATGGCCGACTAATGTCCACATTTGACTGGTTGACAAATTTGCGCGGATAGCCATTGGCTCTCATTACCCGTCGAAGATATTGTAATTCAACAACCTTGTCTTCCATTTCACTACAGTGCGTCTCAACGCGCCGGTATAGCGCCCTTACGCAACTGCGTTTGTGACTGATCGGGTGGTTGCTATTGAAGTTCAGTATTTGCTTCGTATTTGTCGCTTTCCTGAACACTTTGGTTTTTAGGCCACCACAATCTTTGCGGCAGACGAGGACATCCAGGAAGGCCAGCCGATTGTTTTCCTCCTCCTCCATCGTAAATTGAATGTCCGGGAAGACGGCGTTGAGTTGTTCTTTGAAAGTCATCACCTGGTCCCGTTCGATGACGACGAAGGTTTCATCCACATACCGAGCCCAGACTTCCAGCCGTTGTAGGACCGCCTCGGCTTTGAGTCCCGAAATCGGCGAACCCATTGGCGTTCCCTTCACCTGCTCGTTGATTGTTCCGTCGAACGTAAAGTACGCCTTGAGACAGAAATTCAAGAGCTGATGATGATGATGACGACGACGACGACGGCGACGACGACGGCGACGACGACGCCGATAATGATGTTGTTGTTGTTGTTGATGATGATGATGATGATGATGATGATGATGATGATGATGATGATGATGATGACGATGACGATGACGATGACGAGGATGATGATGATGATGATGATGATGATGATGATGATGATGATGATGATGATGATGATGATGATGATGGTGGTGGTGGTGGTGGTGGTGGTGGTGGTGGTGGCGGTGGTGATGATGAACGATAGCTCGATGGTAGTTTCGGTCCTGTGGTCAGCTTCGTACTTATCTCTCTCTTTCTGCAGCAAGTGGAACGCAGAGTGGCTAAAGTCGTTTACTTCGGCTAAAACCGCAATACAACACCGGACATGATTATCCTGATGTATGGAATGTCAAAGAGGGATTTAGCCATCATAGGTAGGAGTGTAGTTTCTGACGCATACTGTGACGTTGCGAATGCTCGCTTATTTTCAGCAGTGGGAGGGGTGAGTCAACTGCTCTTACGGTATAATGGAGTCGGACCTTGTCATCCGTTTGTGAAAAAGCACCTGAAAACTCTACCGAATACACGCTCGCTCCCAAGCATCACCTCTAGCAGAACGGTATAATAAAAAATTTGCGACATATGCCACCTCTTACATTAACCCTACTCCCTATTAGTTTCTATTATGCAAATATCCTACATTCACACTTCGCTTTGGAATAATTCACACAAATAAGCTAGAAAAATAGGCTGCTACCTGCGTCATCCATCTTATCGCTAATCTACTACATTTCTCGACGGTCAGTTGGTTGCCGTTTCTGCTGAAGATCCCGAGGTTTGAGCCCTTTCTGGAGTTCTGCTCAGTAGAGATCACGGAGAGCTTCAGAGTCTCATATGAGTGAAATAAAGTGTATTCTAAGAAAAACCGATGTTCGGAAATTGCTGTGGTTAGTCAGTGTGTTGCCGATTATAATCCGTTATATACCGCCACATGCAGGCCAGTCCTGCCCGCATTTTTGTGTTATTATTAGGTAGGGTATTTTTCTCCTGTAAAATTAATCCAGTCGTTTTTATATGTTTAAGTGGAGTTTTTTTTTTCCATCGCTCGATCATCATTCCTCTTAACGGACTACAAATTCAGAAACGATGAATTGCACTTTGTACAGATTCTGCCTACCTCGTCTAAAATTCGTACGCAAAATTATTTTTGATTCCTTTGATTAAACCCCGAAGGGTAATTAATAAGAAATCATTATTATTAAATTAATATTTTGTCAGCAATCCCCGACATTTTGATACCTTCTTCAGGTACTGATAACTGCAATTCACCAGTGTCGATTTAAAGTGTTGGATACTGTCTGTGGAAGCGGACAGTAGATCATAGGCTTGGTTCCATAGGTTCTGTAACTGAGTTTCCAATTTTAACTGATTCACTTTTCGACGAGCTATGTAAAACTTAGAACCGAGGGATAATACTTCAAACGATGTTTTCTTAAATGTCATATGAGAGTAATTGTGTACGTACCGACCTGGATCTTCCGGAAACCGTAAATGTGGTTTCATCTCATGTACACTTCTAAGAAGCGCAGAACTGCTCGTTTTCTTCGTATGGATTGAGTGTAGCTGTCGAATTCTTTTCTTTCGTCATCTGTCAGGGTGTCTAGGACGGCTGTGCGTTGACACACGTGACGCTTTAGTTCTTCTATCATTACGAGGGTACTTTGCAGTTGATTCTCAGCGTATCTTTTCGGGGTTTCTGTGGTAAGGACTGTACGGCTACGCCTCAGCGTTCTCCGGTTGTGGTTTGGATATCTGTTTCTCTCAATGCATTCCACGATCAACTTGGCTATTACTTTCGCCTCCACAAGCTTGGTGTTGAAACGTAGGCACCCATTGAGTGCCCCCAACACCGTGGGATCTTTGGACCGTTTTAAAGTTGTGAAAATTCCCATAGCGGTAATCAGAAGACGAGGTGGCGAGCATACGTAGCTTTCGATAAATTCTGTTCGGGCCAGTACAATTATATGGGAACGGGGTAGAAGTAAAAGCACGTCAGTGATAAAGTTAATTGATTAAAACACAGGCCGGGTGTGGGAATGTAGGGGAGGGGGGGGGTTTATAGCAAACACTGTCAGGGGCGGGGTGAGAGCGGAAGGGCGCGGGGAGAGTTGTAGCGTTAATCGACCTTCGAGCACGATAGGCGCGGAGCCTTTACGTGGTTCTTCTGTGCGCACAAGATCGGTTTTCGCAACCTGATGGCCACTGCCTCTGCCGTCGCTAACAGGCGCTCTCCCAGTGGTTTAGGGTAGCTCGATGGGACCTTAGAGATCACACGAAACGCTTCAGTGGGATCTGCATGATGGCCGGGATCGACAACATTCGCGACAATGGCGCTGCTTATGCTCCTAGTTTCGCCTTTTCCCAGCCATGATGGGAGCTGTTCTCGTATTCTCTTGGATAAGAGCCAACTCGTGCAACCAATATAACCTGCCCCACAGCAGCAACTGAAAGAATAGATGCACCTTGAAGTCGTCTGGGGTGGCAACTTATCCTTATCTTCTCCGCGTAAAATAGGGCTAGTAGAGAAGGATACTTGAACCTTAAAGAAGGAGACACGATCGCCGGGACAAGAGCTTTATTAGCCTGACGCTTCGGATTCCTACTCGAATCCATCATCAGACACAAAAAAGCAGAAACGGGTGGTTGCTGCACAAGGAGCTGCGGTATTAATAGGATGCCGTAGCCATGCTACCGCATACCTATGAACATTCACGGCTCCCCCCTTCATCCAAGATCGTCGCACTTGGTGTGATCACTGCTTGATGGCCGACATTCGAGTCGATAATTGCTGCAATTTCATCACGTGCGTTGGATGTTGGCGTGATGATTGCTCGACCATCTGACGCACCGATCCTGGTGTTGGAAAAAGTGTTCACCTCTGCGCTCCCCGCATGGCTTGTTGCTCCGACTAGGCGAAATTTTAGCAGGCAGTATGGAGTGGGAAGATCGTTGCACTTGTAGACCCACTGCCACGGCTAGAAACGTCTGGAGTCGTTTATCAGATCTGGTGCAGTTGCGGACAAAGCAACTACGTCGGAGAAACCGGAAGACAGCTCCGAATGAGAATGGCCGAACACGCGGCAGCGGTGCGCAGAAATGACGCCAGCTCTCAAGTTGCGGCTCATTCGACGGGCCACACATTCAAATTCGATGAGGCCGAAATTCTCGCAAGAGGTGACAACCGCGTGAGCCGGGAGCTACTGGAATCATGGTTTACTGGCCCCCAGTCTATCAACAAGTGCAACGATCTTCCCACTCCATACTGCCTGCTAAAATTTCGCCTAGTCGGAGCAACAAGCCATGCGGGGATCGCAGAGGTGAACACTTTTTCCAACACCAGGATCGGTGCGTCAGATGGTCGAGCAATCATCACGCCAACATCCAACGCACGTGATGAAATTGCAGCAATTATCGACTCGAATGTCGGCCATCAAGCAGTGATCACACTAAGTGCGACGATCTTGGATGAAGGGGGGAGCCGTGAATGTTCATTGGTATGCGGTAGCATGGCTACGGCATCCTATTAATACCGCAGCCCCTTGTGCAGCAACCACCCGTTTCTGCTTTTTTGTGTCTGATGATGGATTCGAGTAGGAATCCGAAGCGTCAGGCTAATAAAGCTCTTGTCCCGGCGATCGTGTCTCCTTCTTCAATCCTACTTCCTGGGACTCGTCTCTTCGCTTCTATTGATACTTGAACCCTTGTCGCTGGGAAGGTTCGCGAAACAGCTTGATCAAGGCGTCTCTTTAGGACTTCACTTGCAGCGTCCCCTTGAAGAGAGACTTTAAGGAACAGAGTTTTCTTTTCGGCAGTCGGTGTGGGGGGTTTTACTGGTCGTTCGGCCATATTCTTTGCAATAAACCTGTCCGGGTACCCGTTTTCACGAAGGAAGTCCTGGACTTTTCTAAGCTCCTCCACTATGCCATCTCTTGAGCAAATTTTTCTAGCTCTTTATGCCAAACATCGGACTAGATTTCGTTTATTGTTGTAGGGGTATGAAACTAGCGAAGTTTATGTATTGTCTAGACCAGGTTTTCTTCCGGTGGACGCCTCAGCGGACACTCCCGTCAGGTCATCTGCTTAGAAGAACATCTAAGAAAGGAAGCGAACCAGCCGTTTCGATCTCCAACGTGAATTCGATACAGTGATGTGCCCGATTTACAGCCTTTAAGAGGGCATCTACGTCGGATTCTGCCGTGGCAATTGCTAAGATATCATCGACATAGCGGCCGTAATGTTTAAATTTTTTGATCTGCTCGCTTAGTTGGAATCTCTCCAATTTGCCCATGAAGACATCGGCTAGGAGAGATCCAAGAGGCGAGCCCACAGCAACGCCGTCTATTTGTCTATAGAGTTGGTTGTCAAACAGGAACTGCACATTTAATGTGCATCTTAGTAATAGTTCCTTGAGTTCAGAAGACGAAGATTCGATCGCTGGAACAAGATCGCATCTTCGTCTTCTGAACTGCTACCTGGAACTCGCCTGTTCGCTTCTATCAGTTCCTTGAGTGTCTTCGTCGGAATTCATATTTCATGCTGATTGTTTGATAGAAATTCACAGATGTACTCAACTGTCTCGGTAACGTGAACGTTTGTAAGAAGTTATAAGACGTCCAGCGAAAACATCATCACGCCGTTGAGGTTAAGGTCTTCGTGCACAACCTTTCGAAATTCTCAGATCCGATATAAGTTGAAATTTGTTTATAATGGGAATATGTTACTTATTTCTGCGCCAATGTTCAACCGATTTTTATTAACTGTCGAAAATAACACATAAGTCCATTTACACCCCCTCCAATTAACCACGACCGATGTTACGTTCGCTGTCGACAAAGTAGACCTTTCCGGCCATCGTGCGTTTACAAAAGTTTATGGAGAAACATGAGCACATTTCTACGGTTCTCGACGCACTAGCAGACTCGAATACATTCAAGAAAAGCCTATTGTGGCTACCACAAATAGAATCGACTGTACATTTTTTTTCATCGGATCAAAACGCGGAACCTAAACTCATTCATAGGCCCAGATTTGACACCGATGCAAAGACGTAAACTTCGGGAAAAAGACCTGTTACAAACACGATAATCAACACTCCGGTCCTCAAATGAACCACTAGCTACTACTTTCATTTCTGGCATTCATAGAAAGAAATTCACAGGCCAGCGTAAACAAAATGCTAAACCCAGTGCCCCCGTAGGAGGACCT